AATACATCCATAGATTCTTATATCAAAGTATGTGACTCTGACTAATGCAACTCACACAAAAAGTAATTCGCACAGTTCACGCCTCGACCATTCTACTTGTCGGTCGGCTAACTCGTGTTGATTTGTTGAAATCACATTAAGCCAACAACCGTAGGTACAAATGCGCACACAATCTCTTGCACTACCACCCGAATCGTCAATAAAAACAATAAAAACAAATAAAACATTAAGGCCGTATGTTGACATTTAGTTGACACAGGGCCAAGAAAACGAATATTTGTCTGGGCATTGTATGTACATTTGCAAAATTAATTGTACTATAAAATTTTCATTGTTCATTTTATGTCGCTTGCAATTGTACATACATACCTTTCTTAATTTTAAATATTGCATTTTAATGTTTGCGTTTTTTTTTCTTTTTCTTTTCATTTTTCTTTTTACTTTTCTCATTTCAGTACGGTCAGCGTGTACCAACTGCAGCATCGCCAAGTAATACAAATTCAAGCAGCTCATCCAATACCGGCTCACAGAGCGGAACTTTAAGTACTAGTCTGAGTAATACCAATACAAATACAACAATGGGTCCTAGTAACGGTACACAGCAACAAGGGGAACAATTGTCGAAAACAAATTTGTATATTAGAGGATTGCAACAAGGCACAACCGATAAGGATTTAGTAACTATGTGTGCACAGTGAGTATCAATCGCAATGTTTTTAAAGGCAATTTTATTTTTTATGCACATAAAATCGTAAAAAAACACAGAGAAAAGTTATTTGAAATGTCGTTTGCTGATTAAATTTTACTATCTGGGTTTCTAGTCTACTCTGGTCAGTAGTTATGACCGTGGCGAAGTCCCCAAAAAAAAAATCAAAAATTGTTATTTTACATGCATATTGTATGATGGTAAATATATGTATATAAGTATGGCCTTTTTGTAGAGAACGTCATGAAGATCGCAATGATTATCAAAAAAAAAATATATAGCTCATTTTTTGGTCCTGGTATATAACAAAAGTTATCATATATTCGACCTTAACAAAGCTTCATGCCAGTTTAAGGGAGGATTTTGAACAGGGACCGAACATAGCTATTAATTTAATTTTTTTTAGTACTAAGATTTTTATTTGGAAAATTTGATTTTTAGTTAGATCATGGCAAATCGATATTTTTTGTTTTTAGTTTCTTAGCCGATTATCATTGTTATTTTTTTCGGATAAATTTGAGCGCTAATTTGTAATTTTGATTTCTTCGATCAAAACTAATCACTTTTTATTTTTCATATTAAATACTATGTTTTTCGACGTCTTTGAACGCTTTAAATCTGGAATTAACAGTTATATGGTCGAAAAACTAAAAATCTGTTACTCTTGATTGAAAATGTAAAGATCAGAAATTAAGATTTAAATTTGGTCGCAAAAATACAAATCCAATTTTTATGATTAAATTATAAATTTTATTACAAAGATCGATGAGCACCGCCCTAATATTTAAGTATATATACATATCGAGCCCTAACCGCCAAAATAACGTAAGCGACATTTTTTTTTTTAATTTTCTTTTTGATGCAGAAATGCACCTAGATGCTCTAAGAATATTTCTTCATCAAAAACAAAATTTTGAAAAATATGTCGCTAACGTTATTTTGGAGGTTAGGGCTCGATATATACAGTGACTCAAACAAGCCTTCAAATGGTGATTTTTTTTTAATACTCATAATGTTTTTTAAATCAAATTTTTTTGTCAATATAACCAAACCTGTATAAATAATGTGCTAAAATTTCTAAAAATTTACACACCCAGAAATTTTCCTCAAATTCAGATTGAAAAGTTCGATGTTTGGATGTAAATTCGCAGATGTTTCCTAAATTTTGTATTGAGTTTGAATTTTTTATTTAATAAGTAATATTTCTATAAAAACTTTGCAAGAAAAATTTTCACTAGAAAAACATTGTGAATATTTAAAAATAAAATCGCTATGTGAAAGCTTGTTTAAGTCATTGTATATGTATGCATGTGTTTGTTACTCCACTGCCTGTATACTGAATTTCTATGACGTAAGCATCAACCTGAAATACAGAGCTATCTTTCCCTCTGTCGGTAAAGTGGATATTTCTGGGTTGTAAACCATAATTCCCTGTTATTTTTAATATTTTATTGAACTTTGTACCACGATTGTTTATAAGGAAAAATTGAAAAAGCAACAAAGTCTAAGCGGAAGAAGTGTTTTGTTCGAATCTACCTCCGATTAGATTTGTGATTTCATTCGTATATCCCAGAACATCAAAGAATTTTTCGCTAAGTAGGCAATGTGGAACATCCATATGGCTGATCCATAACAGAAGAGAGTTAACTCCGCCTTGTGGGCATCACATTGTGGCTAATAGCCTTACTTAGCTCCGTCCTGGCGTTGAAGTCATGGCCCTAGTTTGATGGCCACCTGTGATCCATCGACATGGCATTTCCCTTTGTTCCGGACGTACTACATAGTAAGTATGGATGAGAGACAGAGTATGAAAGAGTCATAGGGTCTCTTAAAGAACCCGACCTCATTAGGGTGCATACGTCTTTGAGAGGATTCGGAGGATTTTAACAACAGATTCATTATCCGCAAGTCCTGTGCAAATGTTAATGCTTGAGTCCCTTCAAGTACCTCTTCTCTCCTTGTTGTACCCTGTGAAGGCATGTTTATATTCGACCCCTTCACAATGGCTTATAACGTGTCTGGGAGGAAGTTCGGCTTTAAGCACTACGTACGGCTATAATAAAAAAACCTTAACTTCGAGCAATATCACTAAAGTCTAAGTAGAAAGTGACCAAAATAAAGGTTCAGTAATTACCTATTACCTTTAAGCGCTACGCGAGCGAGCTTAAAGTCATTATTGATTTCGGCTATCTGTGTAGATGTTTACCTCCTTTACCCATGACGCCTAATTGAGCTGACAATCGACTCTTTCCAGTGATCTAGAAGATAATATCTGCGGTTGATAGAGATATGCCTGCAAAAGGCTCCTACACCGACCCTTCCGTCAAGCTTCGGCCCATCGATGCAGAAGCACACTGATGCTTCCTTGCAACTGCTGCCTCCCGTGCACTCATCTAGGGGAGATTTGAGAGAGAGCTCATTGATACCAGTCTAGCCAAGCAGGGATCCGAGAAGTCTTCTTGTATGAACCTTTCTCTGTCGACTTCACCTTGTCTTAAACTATGCACATTTGCTGAATGCATATTGAGCTCCTTACAGGCGAGCAGGAGGACTAATAAGCAGATAAATCCACCTCTCCCGGGTTTGTGAGCACAAACGAGACAGAGGGATAAAACATATTACAAGCTGTTGTATATTTCCTATGATAGATATGTAGTTGAACCCATGATAAAAACATAGCAAGGTATAACCGTTCTCTCAATTTGTCGTTTGCTTTCTCAGCTCGTCCTTTTTGGTAAACTCTGGAATGAGAAAAACATTTATATAATTAGAAATATTTGACCTTAATACAAATAAAATAAAGCATTGTACAGAGAACTATTCGTAGTAATTATTTTGCTCGTTCTTTGAAGTGCATAAAGAATAGAACAATTCATTGAAATAAAAGTTTTTTGTTTGCAAATTTAAAAAAATTCTTTTTCTTCTCCTTTTCAGATATGGAACAATTATATCCACCAAGGCTATTTTAGATAAAACAACAAACAAATGTAAAGGTATTTTTTTTCTTCACCATTTCTCATCTTTATTATTTAGTACGTGTGTTTTTGTTGTAAGAATCTGAATTTGTTAAGTTCAAGTACAATATACAAATCGAACAAGATGGCATATATTGGTTGAATTTTAAATTTAAATAAAGTTTAAAGAATATTCCATTGGTTTAAAAAGGAAAATTTTTAACTTGTAGCTCGTATGTAAAGCAATTTGAATTGCGTTTTTTTTTTTTGAAATCTGAATATTTTTGTTTCTCATACAATTTTTTACATACATAATTAAAAAAAAATTAACTCTTTGTATATAAGTACATAATTTTATATTTAAAAGGCAACGGAAAATTAAAAAAAAATATAATTTCGCATCTCTGAACTTTACTGCAAAACGTTCTACGTCAATTATTGCCCTCGGTGCTTAAATGAACTTTTCGATTGTATCTGAACGCTGCTGTTAATCGTTCCTCTTTGTCAACCAAAGGTAGAGAGTTTTTTCTTTGGTTTACGGGAGTACAACGATTTCCAGAAGTATTTCAGTACGGTTAATAGACCATCTAAGCGACAAAGGGTAATAATTGACATATGTAGAACGTTTTACAGTATCACCGACGATATGTATTTTCACTCACTGTTTTATCGAAAATGACAATAATAGTAATAATAATGTTTAACTCTTAACCAAACAAATAAGTGCCGATTCTGTATTTTGTATCTTAACTTATTTTTTAGATTTTCAACCAGATCACTCAATTTTATTATTGCATTTTATTAATTTTTAAAAAATATTGCTAATCTCTTTTGTTTTTTTTTTCTTTTACCTCTTCGAAAATTTTGTTTTTGTTTTTCTCTGGTCCATTTGTAAAACTTTGTTTCGATTTAATTTTAATCCTCTCGATGCATTCATCAATGTTAAAAATTCAAAAAAAAAAAAATACATTATTTATTTCCATTTCGAAATTAAATTTTATTTTATTCGTTAAAAATAATTTGTTTGAACAAAATAAACGCTAATCTCACGTGGCGAAAACAAAAACAAAATATTCTTTCTTTTCAGGCTACGGCTTTGTCGATTTCGAGTTGCCAGCATACGCCGAGGGCGCCGTCAAGGGACTACAAGCAAAGGGCGTTCAAGCTCAGATGGCCAAAGTGGGTATCTGGGTGCTTCATAGGCCGGCCATTGTACGTTTGTTTGCATGCAAGTAATACTCACCCCCCACCCCCACTTCTATATAGTTGGTCTATATATTTTATCTACATTTTTTTATATATTTAATTTTTTTTTTTTGTGGTTTTTGTTGGTTTTGTTCTTGATAATTTGGTGTACAGTCTCATTTCGATGATTTTCTTGAATTAGTTGTGGTTGGTTTTTAACAAGAGAAAAACAGCAATAAGTCTTGTCTTTTTTGTTTTTTTTTTGGGTGTTTTTTTATAATTTCTCGTAAACAGGCTAGGCTTAACATTGTTGCTGCTACTCAAATGCAACGCTTAAAAATTAACTACTTACAACCGCAAGTTTGCTATCTTTGCTGGCACGCTTGAATTAAGCTATAAAATTTATCACATTAAAAACTGCATTGCTACACAGTAAGGATAACGACCTCTAGAGGGTGTGTGTTTGTGTGCTTCGTCTCACCTACTGTTTTTATGAGTTGCTCAGCATAATAATGACTTGACAATTATCAGCGTGTACACTGCTCCAACCAGATATTTGTTAGGACCAATACCCAACTAGTCCTTACTACTGACTACTTACTTTAATTACATACATGCGTATCTACAATTTGTCAAAAATGGAAAGTGACACTTAAGATGGCACAACGCCAAAAGCGGGTTTCCGTTTTACGGAACTCACTCCCTTGGGACAGTCGGATATTTTTTCAAATGAAGACCTTAAGACATCAAAGTTATCTCGGTTGGTCCAAAGGACATTTGCTACGGCTGAGGTGTACTCGTCTACTTTCCTCAGTAAATAGATAACACAACCGTGGTTGTAGTGAATTGACCGCCTCGCTAATCTGCATTTCCGAATCGTTTCTAGTCATTGCATTGGCTATTTCGTTGCCTTCGAAATTGACATGAGGCCCGCAGAGAGAGAGACGATGACGTGATTTGCTGATGCTGGCGATGCGCAAGATTTACGATCAATTTTTGACTTTAGACTGTCAACGAATATACTGACTTTCGTTTATAAAGCCAAATTTTCTATAGAATCCCGCGCTAATTTATTTTTTCAGCTTTGAGCTATTACTATGTATGGTAAGCCTATCATTTCTCGTCCCTAGGCCAGCGTCTTATTCATCCCTAGTTGGATATTGTATAGGAATGCCTAAGCGGAAGTCCTACAAAACCGACATAAAATCTGTCTTGGTCCGGCCAGGCAAACAGAACTGAGGAATCTTTCTTCTCCTTTAGAGCAAGACAATTTCCGTTTTGTTAACTTCTAGCCCTTTTTTCCCCCACCCAGAAAAAATACCCAGAGCTGATTCCATTAGTCCATAGGAATAATTTTCATAAATACTATGATCTAAAACTCGAAAGTAGAGTACAAAAATCATTTCCAGCAATTCTTCGAAAGAAAACATTTCGCAAAAAAGTAGATAGTGTATATAGACCGCAGCACACTATGCACTGTTGCGTTCAAAACTATTGCCAAACACATTATCTTATCCGGGATCTCTTCTTTTGAAAGAATATAAAAGCCACTTTGTGGTCGAAGGATGACTGACTCTGCACTATAAATAGGTGGGTCTAAAATGGAAAAGCGAGTAGGCACTGCCACATACTATTTAGCGTCAGTGGCAACGAGCAGTCACTCATTCGGCAAATGCATCAATAGAAGATGAGCCGATTTCGCAAGCAGTAAAACGGAAGCACTTCCTGTACACGATCCAGTGGACAAGAAAGATGTAGACTAAAACACAACACTGCAGACTTGCAATCACGATATGGGGAGCTTATCACAGCAACTTCCCAATATTTATTTTATCTCTGATCAAGATAGGCGCTATGCTGCTAGTTGGTGTACTGTTTACTTACCTTTAAGTTAGGTCTAACCCATGGTAAGATGTGCATGAGAGCATGAGATGCGGAAGGAATGAGAAGACTGTGGAGTTCATCTTTTCTGAGCATCCAACTCTTGGTAGGCAGGTGCGCTGTCTACTGGATGTAGGTTTTCAACCGTAGTTGGAAGCAACCGAGAAAAAAGTGCGATAAGAAACTGGTTTTATTTTGCAGCACTGGTAGGTAATCTGGTAACAGCATACAAGTTCTGGAGTGACAGTGCTTGGCCTGATATATATCTGGGTCGTTCCGGTTACGTCGGCCCGACTGTCGTGGGAACGACGAAAAACTTGTTATGAAGTACCTTGAGCCACGGTGGATTTTTTACGCTAAACGAAGTTTTTTGAATGAAATCCGGAACTTCATCGACTGGATACAGACCCCAGCGCCTATTCATACTCACAATCATATGGCACTTACCATTCATTGTTCTAATTATCGCCGTTCAGGCCAAATAAAAGTAATGGAAAGTTGTCATGTGCTGCCTCGTTATAACTATAACTAGACTATAAAGTAGTTATGGCACCCACATAATTGCCTTTAGATAATACTATGTATGTAATGTGTGGTGCTGAACTTTGATTACTTTTGGGTGCATTGAAGTTTACCATCGCTTTCTTTGGAGCAATATCGTGCAAATGTACATATGTATGTATGTATATTTTTATACCTTTCATTAACATGAAATGGTATGTTTATAAGTAACAGAAGAAGTTGAGATAGAGCCATCAATAACTGTACCAAAATGATAAGATTGTCGAGCTGAGTCAATTTACAAAGATCGGATTAGGTTAGGTTAGGAGGGCGTTTGTGGAATATTCCATACTTCCACTCGTTAACAGAATTGTCCATTGTGAGTGCCGTTTTTAAGCGAGTGTCAGGAGGAGAGCGGTACCCATAATCGTGAGAGGGTAGCTTCAAGTCATTCTAAAGAAGCGTAAGCCCAAGTGCTTTAGGCGCTTCGTCTATAGACCTTGACATCGGCCGAGAAAGTGATCAATTGACTCTTCCTAATCCTCATCACGGCAGCTTCTGCAGGGAGTACTTGTTGTTATTCGCCACCATTGAAGCATTGCGGCTATAGCACAGTGTCCTGTGATGACGCCGGTAAGGGCTCTTACTGCAGTTCTATTAAGTTGCAGTATGTCCCTCGCCTTTTTCCTACTAAGTCGCGGCCACGATGTATTCATCAATTTTCCTAATGTGATCACTAAACAGTGGTAGTACGGAGCTATCCGCTTCTTCAATTGGCATCTCTGAGCCGCATCTGGCCATCTCATCAGTCGACGCGTGGGGCGACATTTCCATACAATTCCCGATTTCACAATTTTAGATCGTATTGTCTCCCAGTGCTGCTTGACTGTCGTCAAAGATAATGGCTTTGTCTTCTGGAACTCTACTACTAAGTAAGAGACTAGCCGCCCTCTACTAATATTGAAAAATGCAGCGATTACAGGTGAAATATGTTCCTCAGGTGCGCTACTCACTGCCCCCAATATGCCAAGGCGTGTGAGTCTTTGCCCTTTCCTTTTAGTTTCCTGTTATACCCTTTATCTAGAGCCCTCCACCATACCAAGGGCCCGTCGGTTGCAATTGGCCGGATGATTGTGGTGTCCCCATTGCTTTCCAAATGACCTTTTGTGCGTATAGTATGCTGCTGGAGATTTCTTGGCTGTCTCCTCTAAATTCTTTTTCCACTTAAACTTGGAGTCCAGAATGATTTCGAGATATTTTGCCTCTGAGGAGAGTTTCAAAGTAGTTTCCCCCAATTTCGGCAGAGAAAAGTTGGTACTTTAGTTTTTATTGTAAACATTACCAGTTATGTCTTGGAGAGGTTAATCCCGAATCCATTCTGGTGGGCCTACTTAGAGGTATCACCTAATGGACTATCCATTAGTTCACTTATCGTTGGCAGGAATTTGGCAGTCATAAGTATCACTAAGTCGTCGGCATAGGCGAAACCCTAATTATCCTTGTTTTAAAAATCTCCAGAATTTCGTTCGCCACCAGGAGCCGGAGGAGATGGCATAGTACAGCCCCTTCAGGCGTACCCCTGTTGGTTTTCTGTCTCACACCATGGAGTCAATCCATGCCACCATAAGGCGCTCTATTCCTAGCTCAGAGAGTGCCTTGCTTATCGCCTCCGTTCGGGTATTATTGATCGGGTTATTTTATCCCATAGCTTCCATGCAGCTGATTGTTGTTGTGATTGACCAGATGACGTTGCAATATGAAATAGGAATTAATCGGCTAGGTGGCGCAGCAGTCGAGATATTTGGAAAATCTGTCAGATTTATTTCATATTTTAAATGAAAAGAAATAACTCCGCTAAAACTTTAACGGTTAGATGGTACGGGGGTCGGCTTTTGATTTTTCTATTAACCACTAAGTAAAGTTTGTCTTCAAATTTTTTTATTTACTTCTTACTAATTAATAACATAAAGTCTACTAAGAAAATTGTCAAGGTCTTTGCTCTCTAAGCGGAATCTCCCATACCATTGATTTTTCAGATATGTACATACATATAAGTTTTCGGGATATGTCTCCTTTACGTAGGCAGTTAAAACTTTGGAATTTTGTGACCCATTTTCTTATCGATCGTACCTATCGAGCTTACAGTGAAAATCATTAAAAATCTGTACTTTGTAAGTTGTATCATCCATACCATTGATGGTTCAAATATAACATAACTCATCTATCTATGTATTTATGTAGTCAAAGTGATAATTTTGAAAACCACTTTATTATAATCTCTAGCTTCCAACAAACTATTTAATCCCACATGCAGTAGTAGGTTGATGTTGAATTTTCTGATTTTCGTGAAAGGTATGAAGCCTTGGGCATACCTGAAGACAGTACTGTCCTTACTTGTTACAATTAGGTATGTATGTGCCTAACTACACTGTATGTATGTCCTTACGAGTTCAAAGAACTTCGCTAATTGTTGCCATTCGCTGTGATAGCCATCCCTTGAGCCTTCACGCTCCGTCTCTCTTTAATCTCTCTCTCTCTCTCTCTCTCTGTCTCTCTCGCTTTCTCTCTGTTTCTCATTCTTCTTGATTTCATAGCATTTTTTTATGCCACTACAATGATGGATCATAAAAGGAAAATGACATTAT